AATATAGTCAAAATCTTAAAATCAAACTGTACCACAGAATCTCTATGGCTGGAAATTCTATGCTTGAATAATAAGAGTATAACAGTAGGAATATACTACTGACCACATGACCAGGATGGTGATGGTGACTGTGAAATGCTTTGGCAGATTAGAAAGGCTATAAAAATAGAAAACTCAATAATAATGTGGGATGTCAACTATCCCCATCTTGACTGAGTACATGTCACTTCAGGATGGGATGAAGAGATAAAAGTTTCTAGATACTATAAGTGACTCCTTCTTGGAGCAGCTGGTCCTGGAACCCAGAAGGGGAGAGGAAATTCTTGATTTAGTCCTAAGTGGAATACGGTGTCTGGTCCAAGAGGTGAATATAGCTGAACCGCTCAGTAATATCGGCCATATCAAAATTAAATTTAACATCCTTGTGGGAGTAGTGGTGGGGAGAAATACCAAAGAAGCACATCATACTAGCATTTAACTTCAGAAAGGGGACCTACACAAAATGAGAGAACTAGTTAAACGGAAATTAAAAGGTACCATCACAAAATGGAACTGTCTGTAAGCTGCATGGAAACTTGGACCCAAAGGCTTTCCATGCAGCGGGGGTTCCAGAGGCAATCACAGATCAGTCAAGCTAATTTCAGTACCAGGTAAACTGGTTGAAACTATAGTAAAGAACAGAACGATCAAACATGTAGATGAAAATAATTTGTTGGGGAAAAATTAACATGGCTTTTGTAGAGGGAAATCATGCCTCACCAATCTATTCGAATTCTTTGAGGAGATCAAGGAACATGTGGACAAGTATGATACAGTGGATATAGTGTACTTGGTATGACATTCTGTACCTTGGGGGAGCACCCTGTAACTCCCCATATTCCTCATCTGTATATAATTATATTACACATAAAGCATGCTTGTAAGGTATCAGAGGAAAGGTTATGATCTGCTGAAAGTCATTTCTCTATCCACAGATGTATAAAATTAATACATATGAAGTTATGAGAATTGTGTTGTATGATTGTTACTAAGGGCACGTCTTCACTGGCAATGTTAAAGCGCTGCCATGGCAGCGCTTTAACGCGGCTTGTGTAGTAGCGGTATAGCGCTGGAAGAGAGCTTTAATAAATATATAAATAAATAAATAAATACCTCCATGAAGGAAGTAAACTCCCACCACTGGAGCAATGTCTACACTGGCACTTTACAGTGCTGAAACCTGCAGCGCTCAGGGGTGTGTTACTCAATATATGTTTTCTGAGCACAAGTTAAGAAGACCGAACATTACTGGGGTTTTTGCCCCCAACAGAAGTTGAAATGACAATATTTCAGGCACAGCAGTTTCTATAATAAAAGTTTTCTAGTAGAAGGCTTCTCAGGACACAATATTCCCAGCAAAGATTTCCCTTCAGTGGGAATGTTCATTGTTTACAATCGCATTTGACAGTAATAGTTCATGAAGTGCTTGATTTTTTCTGGGAATGTTGGGAAACAGCCCTTGTGAATCAGTCAACTTTTTTACAAGCTACTTTTTTTTTTAAGAAATCAACTAAGTAATTATAATATTATTCTTACAAATTTAAAGAGTATGGTTAACTTCCCCACCTGTACCTAACATTTAAAGTTTACCTCATTTTGTTTCTTTACAAGTCGCCTAACTTCCTTGTTGGTTTCAAACAGATTTCTCTCTCACTTTACCAATGCCATAGAAGCCAGATGCACTTACAGCAGGAAGGGAACAGCCAGGTTAAACAAAGCATTCCCTGATCAGACTGAACACTTGAAGTATTCTCTTAATTGTTTATGAATTGAAGACAGGAACTGGTGCATAAGGGGGTACCAGTCTCCGCTCCTTAGGTAGGTTAAGAGGCAAACTCAGTGGTTCTCCATGATACAGGATGAGTAATTCTCTCTAGACACCTTGGTACTCCTTCCAAACATCCCTAAAAGAAGAGGGCCTCTGGTAGGGTGACCAGACAGACAGTCCCAATTTTAGGGGACTTGTCCCGCCTCCTGACTTTACATCAGTCGGGACGCACTTTGTCCCAATATCGGGACCATCTGGTGGAGAAGGACGGCATGCTGCCGCCGGTGCCGCTCACCTCTTCTTCCTGGGGTAGCTCCCAGTGCCCACCTGTCAGCAGGAGCCTGCAGTGCAGCCCCAGGCACAGAGGCGGTGAGGAGGTCTCTGCCGCGTGCTGCAGGGGCAGGGCTTGCAGGCACTGGCAGCAGGCAGAGAGCCACCCCCCCACCCCGACCCTAGGAGCGAGGGACCTGCCTGCCGGATGCTTCCTGGGAGCCGCTCCAGGTAAGCGCCACTAGGACTCCCCACCTCGCCCCCTGGCAGGTCCCTCTGGTGCTCTGCTTGCTGCCGGTGCCTGAAAACCCCGCTCTGCAGCTCCGGCAGCTCCCATTGGCACCTTTCCCAGCCAATGGGAGCCACCAACCACGGAGCTCGTGCTTGTGGCGGGCGCAGCACGTGGAGAGTCTGGAGACTCCCCTTGCCACTCTCAGCCTAGGGGCCAGAGACCTCCCAGCAGGACTGGTGAGTGCGGCCAGGGAAGGGGGCAGGGTGTGATAGTGAGTGTCTGGGAGGTGTGTGTGGGGGGGTGCTGGGCTGTGAGGGTGTGGAGGGCGCTGGGCAGTGGGGGAGGTTTGTGTGTTTTGGGGTGCTAGGCAGTTGGGGCCTGTGGGGGAAGGTGCTGGGAAGTGGGGGAGATCTGTATGCATCAGGGCACTGGGCAGGGGGGGGGGGTCTGTGTGGGGCATTGTATAGTTGTGGTGGTGGAGCAGTGGGGAAGGGCACTGGGAGGGAGGGAGGGGAAATCTGTGTGTATTGAGAAACTAGCGAGTGGGGGGGTTCTGTGTGGGGTGCTGGGCAGCTGTGATGGGGCTACGAGCGGAGGGGCGCTGGGTAGGGGTGGTGGTATGCACAACACTGCATTTGTTGTGAGGGAGCTCTGGGCATAGTGGGTTCAGGGGGTGCAAGGCATAATGGATCCAGGGGGCACTAGGCAGGGGAGCTGTGTGGCGCAGCATGTGCCCACCCCCAACAGGAAGGGGCATGCTGGTAGCACAGGGCCACGCGGACCAGTGTGCCTCTGGCCATGCCATGCATGCTCCATTGCCCCTGGCCGGCCCTGCCTTCCTGCTGCTCACCTCAACTGAAGGCGGGGGTAGGGAATGCAGGGGTGGGTCCCGACAGTGCTTACTTGAGGTGGCTCCCAGGAAGCGGCCGGTAGGTCCCTGAGGTAAGTGTCAGAGGCTGCATCCTCCTCCCCAGCAGAGTGTGTGCAGACCGGTCCACCTTGCTCATGGCACAGCCAAGGAAAGGAGGCACCTGCCTGTGCACATGCTGATTCTACGCAGGGCAGGCTGGGGCTGAGCACTGCTAAACTGCTGCCCAGTTCACTTACCCACATTAGCAAGCAGGGATTGCACCTGGCAGCTTGATGTACAATCGGGCCGCCATTTGTCCCAATCTTCAGGTAAAATTTAACATTTGGTAGCGAAATAGAAAATTAGTTGATTGGGAATGTCCTCATTAAACCCAATTGTGATCGGTTATCTACTGGCAATTTTGGTTTTTCAGGTTGTTTTCCGGTGTAATGCAAATTTATGGTTGGGATATGTAGTTTACAATTCTGAACCACAGTGCATACCGTAGGACAAACTACAGTGGGCACATAATAACATGTAAGAAGCAGTTATTATCAGTGGCTAGCTATCTAGCTAACGGTCTTCAGCCAAAAACCCCACCTGAAATGGAAACGGCAAGGGAGGACCCAACTACCAAAAAACAAAAAAAGACAGTGCAGATACAGGACAGAATGGGAAGCCACTTACACATGGATTCGGAAATCCTATAAGTGTGATTCAAAAGCCTTTTGTAAAGCATGCAGGAAAGAATTTAGCATTTGCCATGGCGGTGAATCTGATGTTAAGCATCATACTGAATCAAAGAATCACGGACAAAACACCCAGACTCACAAGAGCAATACCCTGGTCTCACATTTTTTCAGCAAGCCAAATGAATCCTTCAACAACAAGGTTATTGCTACTGAGCTAACTCAAGTTTACCACACAGTAGTCCATCAACACTCCTATTGCTCGTGTGACTGTGAACTTAAACTGGCGTCTACCTTGTATCCAGATTCAACGATTACGAAGCACGTCAGCTGTGGCCGGACTAAAGCGGAGGCATTGATCAAAAATGTGCTGTCACCGCTCTCAACAGAATTTTTAAAAGACTTCAGCAAGCCAGACGGTCCCTATTTCTCAGTTGCCACAGGTGCATCTAACAAGGGCAATGTGAAAACTTTCCCCTTATCACTGAGATACTGGACACCTGAAAATGGGGTCCAAGATAAACTGTTAGACTTCTATGAGCAAAGCAAAGAGACTGCAGAGGCAATAAGCAACACATTACTTGAAAAACTTGTGACACATAAACTAGACCTAAACAAAGTGTCTTCCTACTGTGCTGATAATGCAAACGTGAATTATGGAAAGCGACAATCAGTGTA